AAATGGAAGTTAATACCATATATATTGTTGACCAGTGTAAAACAAAACCCTACACTTTTAACTTTCTAATGCAGGTGAATTACTCCTCCCACAATAACACCACTTCTCTTTGAAGGTATAGGTAAGTTTAAGAAACAGTGCTGGAATTATGCCAAGGATAAGACCTGGTAGTTTCAAAAAGGAACTTCTTATAAGGAAAGAAGAGACTGAATTAAAATGCCCTCCTCACCCTCGGTTCTCACTGTAGAATTCTAGCAATAGGAATAGTGAGATAAGTACTGTGAAGTCTAATTTAAATAATTTAAAAATAGTCTGCACTACCTCCAATACCGTTTGTGGTCATTATTGGAACAGAGCTGGTCCCATTGACTTGGGTTGCATGGTGTAACTGAAATGGCTCCAATTGGTTCAACTTCCACTACTCAGAACTTTGGAAACATAAGATCGGTCCTGCTTCACTGGGTCTATGTAATTTTTTATGAATTTTTAGAGATACAAGATCTATGATAAGAAATTTTTCAGATTGTCATTCTGGCCTCCAAACAAGTTATGTTATTAGACGAGATGGAATAAAACACTGGAAGAGTTACATTTCAGAGATGGCAGAGGGATTGTTCTCATGGACATTCACCTGAAGGAAAGATAAGTAATCTCTGGCATTAGTTTATGTGCCTAGAAATCTGTTGGAGGAGAACAACATTTTATACACAGTGTCTTTTCCAGCAGGTGCATCATAGCAATGTCACAATGCATGCATTCATACTTTTCTTCCCTTCTATTTAGCAATGTGATTTAAGAAGATTAATCAGCCAAACAAAGGGGTAAGAACTGACTGTGTAATAAAGAACATGAAGACACTTGTTATTGTTTGCTTTTGTAGCAGAAGCATTCAACTCTAGAGATATTTTTAAATAGTTACTTTGATTTTTATCTTCTGAGCTGCCACAAATTCTGCATATTTATTAAATACATACAGCCAATCAGTTTTGTTTCTGAGAAATGTTTTTGACCTAGTTATAGAGGGGGGAAATTAATTCACTGTCCAATAGGCATAAATAACACAACTATTCAAATTCTTTCTGCAAAGTTAGGCAAATCAGAATCTCATTACTGGATCTAAAACTGCATGTTAAATAAGTCTATTCAGGTTCTCTGTGCAGCATTAAATCTATGACTTGCATACAATGTTTAGTTATAAAACTGATCAGTTTATCCCTAGAGTTACAGTAAATGTGGAGAGACATTCATTTTTATATTTAACATTCTAAGTAATGCTTAGTATCACTACTAGTATGAATAAATCATTGAAAACAACCTTTGTCCCCGTCTCAACTTTACTTTTTTTCATGCTGTGCTATATGCTTGGAAAACCCTCTCCTTCCAAACGACCTCTCTTTCTCCTCCTTCAGATCTCTACCCATGGGCCTGATTTTCTATTGCATTCACTCTCATTCACTAGCATTTTATACCCATTTCACATTCATTTTGCAGTAGTGTAAATGACTATACAAGATTCAGGACTATGGATTATCAGGCCATATGCCTTTAACACAGGCTTCCATTGCTGATAAACTTCAACTGCCTGCTCCCCTCCTTATGATTTATCTTGAATTAAACACTGTGGAGCAGGGTCTAACCACGTGCTTTGTAAAGCACATTCGCAGCAGTGGTACTGTGTAGGTATTGCAAAATAATATGAATAAACTAATAATTAAAGGAAGTAACTAATATGTACTTTCATGACTGGAGGATTGAACAAGTAAGGTGTAAGAGCTATTACAGAATAGCAGACTCTGAGATCCTGTAGAGGAGTACAGTAAGTCTTCTGTTGACTCACCCTAGGCTATGCTAAAACCCTAGGTTAAAATTCCAAGTGGTCACTACTGAGTTGTGCTGACAGACTGGTTCAATTAACTCCAACCATGATATAAAGCAGGGTGGGAGAACCTTTTTGGGACAGAAGGAACTATGGAGCTAGGAGAGAGAAGATCCTTAAGAGAACTCTAGGAACAACCAAGCTGAGGGTGTGGTTGATGCTGTGTTATTGCTTTTGTTTTACTAGTAGATCAGAGTGAAAATTTTTAGCTGATTTTTTTGTTTGTTTTTGGCTGGAAAATGTTGATTAGGTTGATGGAAACATTTAGTGAATTTGTCAATTTCAGTGAATTGTTTTGGGTAAAATGAAAAAGGGAAAAAACCTTCAGAAATATCAGACTGAATCATTTGGACATTATCAGAATGAAATATTTCAATTGTTCTGGCTAGAGTCACAAGGGGATTCAGGAGCTATTCACAAGACAGAGGAAGATGAGGACTTTCTGCCTAGTAGCTCCATGGTAAGGACACTCACCTAGGATGTAGGAGACCCAGGTTTGAATACCTACCCTATATCAGGGACTTGAAGTCAGACTGCCCCTACCCCCGATGAATGCCATAACCACAAGACAATTGGCTATTCTATAGTGAGTCTCAATGAATCTCTCCTGTTGAGGCAAAATACTTGAATAGTCATTGGGCTTGAGGGAAAGAGTGGAAATAACTAATAGTTACGGCACACCCCTGGGAAGGGGAACACCTGTGTTTCATCTTGGCTTCAATTACTATTTAAAGATTTATGCAAAGTGTAAAAGCATTAGCACAAGAGTTTGAGAGAGCCCTACCTTAGAATAGCCAATAGCCTAGTGGTTAGAGCACTCACCTGAAAAATGGGAGATTTGGGTTCAAGACCCTGTTTCCAAAGGGGGGATTCAAACCTGGGCCTCATTGCAGTTGGAGCTAATTACACTATAACAGGGTTCAAAAAAGAACTAGATAAATTCATGGAGGATAGGTCCATCAATGGCTATTAGCCAGGATGGGCAGGGATAGTGTCCCTGGCCTCTGTTTGCCAGCAGCTGGGAATGGGCAACGGGATGGATCACTGGATTACTTGTTCTGTTCATTCCCTCTGGGGCACCTGGCATTGGCCACTGTCGGAGGACAGGATACTGGGCTAGATGGACCTTTGGTCTGACCTAGTATGGCCATTCTTATGTTCTTACACCAATCTGCCTGCACAACTCTGCAGTGACCACCCTGAAGTTTAACATAGGGGTTTAGCACAGTCTAGGGTGAGTCAACAGAAGAGCTCTGCATTTATATACTGGCTCACAGAGTATGTCTAGACTTCAACTGAAAACCTGTGACTGGCTGGCTGATTTGGGCTCGCATGGCTCAGGCTAAAGAGCTATTTAACTGTAGTGTAGATATTTGGGTTGGAGTGGGTTTTTAATTGCAGTGTAGACATACCCTTAGAGTCTGCTATTCCAGAATAGCTCTTAACCTGGGCATCTCATGGGGAGTGCCCTAAACGTTGGGCTATTTGGTATAATAAGGACTCCTCAGTTTTGTGAATCTACCCTTTCATTCCTCTTGCTTTTATTAAAAAAGGTCAAAATACCCAACACAAAACATTTCATTTCAGGTTGAACAAAGCATTTAGTTCATCCTGAAACAATTTTTTCCCAACTTTTTTCAGTTCACCAAAATGTCAAAAAGAACTCGTTTCAGTTCAAATCAAACCAGTCCTCCCCACCTCACCCCCTAGTTTTTTGGAACTGATTTTTGTTGTTGTTATTCACTGGCAGTTATTTGCACGGCTCTCATTACCAATAAAGCCAACCCCCCAGAAAGGGGGGTAGTTTGGACAAGAACTCAGTATACGTGTGCACTTGTAAAGGATCCAGCCCATTCACAAGGTCTACATAGTGTCCGCTGTATTTGTACTAAACTTCCACAGTCTTCACAGGGATTTACATGTTTCAAAAGGGTAGAACAAGTCCCATGTATTGAGATATTAAGTGTGTAGCTTATAATAGATTATGATGGTACTACAGAGACAGGCTATCAATTTCCTTATAATTAAACCAGGCATTGACCTTTTGTTTTTAATCTTTGGTATGTGTGTTCATTTTGAGTCTAATCCAAAACTCACTGAAGTGGGAGACTTCCTAGTGGCTTCAATGAGCTTTGAATGTGGCCCTAAATCTTTCATTTTATCTACATATCTCACAGAGATTGTTAGTTTCTCAAGATGGTTTCATAGAGGATAATCTCAGAAAAATGGAATTACTAACACAAAGTTACTGGTATTCACAGGTCAGATGAAGTACTAAATATTAAAACAGCCAAAGATTCAGTCAGATATGTTATATGGGTGGTACAGATCTTAAGTATAAAACCCATGACATACTCAGAGTATGAGCTCATTCCATTACTTTTTAGGAAATGGTGTGAACTCTCAAGGTCCAAGAAGTGAAAAATAATATTAGTGATTAAATGATGAATTTTGGTGAGAAAACAACTAGGGAATCTTTAATATACATTTTTTTGAGTTTATCATTTCTCTGTGAGTCTCAACTATACTGATAATATTCCTTTTCGTTATCCTCATTTCCTTTTTTTGAGGCGGTCTCGTTTTTTCTCCTCAATATTTTTGCTAACCTTCAATGAACTATAATCAAGTCGCAGTCAAGTTACCAAATTCAGACGTTTGACCCCAACAACTGATATTTTTAAATAAAAAAAGGGGTGGAGCTGTGAGAAGAAACTATTGCCAGGATACGAAATTCACCACAAATTTGCAATATATAAACAGTCTGACATACAATAGGTAAGAAAGAGAGTGGAAGATGTAACACTGAATTTTCAGTAGTTGAACTTTTACAGTTGAGAGCTATTTATCCTGGGGTTTGTGTCCCTCTCTCAGCTAGTTTAAGTTTTCTTTTATGGCAGTTACCTCTTCTCTGTTGTAGAAATGTACAATCTTAAATTTAATAAAGTATGTAACATCCCTCCCAATCCTCTAATGGTTTCAGGGGAGGAAAAAAGACTCATTCCTTGCCAGTGTGTCAGAATAAATAACTTTTGAAAAATCTTATCTGCTCCAGCATTAACAAGTGTATGTTACCTGAACATCAAAGACGGTCTCACAAATGGCTATAACACTAAATAGAACGTACTTGCTGTTTTTGCAGCTTTAGAAATCTTCTCTGTAAGGGAAAAATATATGACATGTAGACACTAAATGCAAGACAATAAAATAACTTAATAGTAACTGTCAATCTCTACATGTTAATACAGACTCATAATGAATTCATCTGCTGGAATTGCTGAGTTTTTCAAGTGGTGATTGCAATGTGCCCTCTAATATCTTCTGGTGATAATGTGATTGGATAATCCTTTTTGTACAGGAAAACATCTGAGAAATTACTGCAATCTACCACTGTAGGAGCAAAGAATAAATCTATTTGAAAAATGCTTCCTTCAGTAGAGATGGTAGTATAATTTGTTTGTATAAAGGATTTTTCTATCATGCTTAGTGATAATTTAAGTTTTCTCTGAGATGCGACTTCGACTGGGCAGCAAGCATAAATTTCTTTGACATGAGACCTTTAAGACCTCCCAAAATTGTAAAACACAGATACAAGACTTGTTATTCTACTCCTGAAATTAAGGCTGCTTGTGAAGCTACCTTTCTATTGCTAAATATATTTGTTTACCTAGAAAAGAATCACTCTGCCCATTAGTCTGAACATTGTACCAGCTTAACAAAAACATATGTTATATGTAGCTATTATCATAGTTTATGGTCTTATTGTTGTAATCTCACCCTCCGCTTCTCCCTCACTGTATTGTTGCATTATTTGTAAATAATTAGAGTAAAATAATTATAATATAACAATGACCTATACAGTTGTTTAGCTTTTCAAACTCAATTGTAAATGTTAACACCTACAGGACAGTCTTATAAAATAAATGAAATAGTCCCAGTGACAAACTGGGACTTGGACAGTCCTGAGTTTTGGGTAGTATTTGGCTCTAGATGTGTGTCTGAACTTCCCTGCTTGTGCCTATTTCTGTTTTAGACTGAGCAAAAACTACAGAGCCAAATATTCCTGAACTTTATGGAAGGGTCATCTTTGACATTTAGACAGGTCCATATCTAGTGATATAATTTTTTTTTAAATAATTGGTGGACAGTTTTACTAAGGAATACAAGTTATTGTCTACTGCGAGTATCAATATTGCTTTTGCTTGGTAGGGTTCTGCTTAAATCCTTGTATATGTGAATGTTCTAAAATTCAAGATATATACAGATTTTAAAATTGCTTATTGCTCTTTATCTGATTGCTTTATAATATCAAGAAACAGATGAAGATTCAAATCCAAATCTAAGAACATGAAACTACTCTATTCAAGCTTTAGAAGCCAAGAGAAGATTTCTTATTTAATATTTTAGATGATATCAGAATTCTTAAATACTTTTCAGCTTTGATTATTCCAGTACAAAGTATTAGTATTTAATACACTGTGCTTAATGTATCAGCCTGAAATGGAAATACATAGGAAGCAGAACTGAAGCTCAAACTCATTATAGTATCTTCGATTTGGCCTCAGATTTTAAATTCTTAGAGTTCAGCTAATACTGAAATATAGAATTGACAAATGCTTGACGATAATTCACTCTGATGTTATTTATAAAACCTTTATTTGTTGCCTACAAATACGCCAACAAATATTTTTGTTCATAAAAACACTGGAAAGAGACAACGTAAAAGACGTTTGTGATTATCTGTTTGCATTTATGGAAATATATTTGCACAGCCATCCTGAGACTTCTTTAAGGGCTAGGATTATCGAATCAGGGAGCAACAATATCATGCGACTAAACTGACCTATCACGTAATGTAAAGAAAGTGGTTACTAGAAGAAATAATCAGGGTAAATCATGGTAAGCGGAATTAACATTGCACAGTCAATTTTAATGGTAGCCTAAGTTCCCTCTAAACAGTGTGGCTGCGCAGCAGCCTATTAAGTGCCACACAGGCACCCAGGGCTGCAGCAGGGAGAGATGCCTCTCCCCCAGCCCCAGACTTGCCACGGTGGGGAGAGGTGCCCCTTCCCTGGCCCCAACCCAGCCCACCCCCAGAGCTGCAGCAACGGGGAGAGGCACCTCTCCCTCCCAGCCCAGTTGCTGCTGCAGGGAGAGAGAGCTGGGGGGAGGGGGAAGAGTCCTCTCTCCCTGCCGCTGCCCCGGGGCAGCCTGCACTCCAAACCCCTCATCCCCAGCCCCACCCCAGAGCCCGCAGCCTCAGCCAGAGCCCGCACCCCCCACACCCAAGCCTCTGCCCCAGCCCTGAGCCCCCTCCCACACTCTGAACCCCTTGGTCCCACCCCCACCACATGAATTTTGTTATGTGCACCAATATGCATAATATGCACACATCACCTCCATATTGGTGCACATAAAATTAATTCCGCACATGCATGGGAAAAATTAGAGGGAACACTGATTCTAGCATTTCCTATCTTTTGCATACTCCACGTTGCAGCCTTAATAATGTTCTTGTAACCGATTTTTGGGGGGAGGTGTAATTTCCTAGGTTTTTAAAAAAGCATACTGAAGAAAAATCCTACCACGTGACACCCACAGGAGTCATCATCAGTGTTGGAACCTTTATATCCACCAAACAGACCTCTGCCATTTGAGCTAACCGAGTAAGTGATAGCAGTAATAGGGTGTCGTACTCTGTGTGATCCAGCACTATATGGGGAGGAGACTCATACTTTGCCAGTGGCTTTCACAGATATTTGTTGGCAGCAGAAGAATGGGGAGACTCGGGAATCTCGGCTCCATTCCAGGCTGTGGAAGGGATTGCACTCTACTGGTCATGAACCCTTCTCAGGGCCGGCTCCAGGCACCAGCATTCCAAGCAGGTGCTTGGGGCGGCAAACTGCAAGGGGCGGCAGTCCGTGTGTTTTTGCCGCCCCAAGCAGTGCGCCGAATTGCCGCCACGGATGGCGGGGGCAGTCCGTGTGCCGTTAGGGCGGCACGCGCGTTTCCGCGGCGGCGGCAATTCGGCGGCAGCTTCTATGTTCAGCTGCCCGCGGCGGCAATTCGGCAGCTTCTGTCTTCCGGCTGAAGAGAGAAGCTGCTGCTGAATTGCTGCTGCCGCGGAAACACGTGTGCCACCCTAACAGCACAAGGACTCCCCCCGCCGTCCGCAGCAGCAATTCAGCATGCTGCTTGGGGCGGCAAAAACAGTAGAGCCGGCCCTGACCCTTCTGCCCCATTCCTTCCAACTTGTTCCAGTCTCAGTCCTAGCTCTTTTCCAACAATGGCTCCTCTTCCCACTGACATTCTCCTTCACCTGTCTGGTCCCAGTCTCTGCTCCTCAGACTTCTCAACCCAGTCCTTGCACAGGGAGTCCTATTTATACTCCTCTAGACTCTCCATCCCAGTTCCCCACCTGTCCCAGTCTCCCGGCTTCGCCAGTGTCAGTTACTCCACCTATCTCCTCATCCCATCTGTCTCAGCTCCCCCCTACCCCAGCCATTTCATCATCTTCACTGGCTCCCCGGTCCCAATCTCTCTCCCTGGGATCCTTGTCTACATTGTGCCGCAGTGCGGACTACAGGGGTGTGAATTGCAGAATGAACTGAACGGTTGTGTTTTAATTGCCCTGTGTGGACACTGCTGGTGCCAGCTAAAAGATACCTAGTTCATGTTAATGTAGTCTTCTTTCAAACGGGACTACAATGTGTACTAGATGCCTTTTAGTTTGGGACCGTCACCTTGTTGTGGGGAAGGGGTTTGCGTGTTCCAATGATCCTCAGAGCTAAGTTGTCGGGAGCTTCATGTTCCTGGTAGGGTCTCCCAAGGTGAACAGGTCAGAGGGAAGGTCCCAGACAAAGCATGGTCCAATCTCCCAGGTGGGCAGGTGGAAGAGGGTCCTCGGATCTCAACAACTGTGAAAGTGGATGAAGGCTGCAGCAAGTGGAGATCTCCAGTCATCTCGGACTTTCCCTGCCACTGGGTCCCAGACCTTCAACGTGTCATGATCGTGTGGTTGCTGTAAGCGCACCAGCTTCCCCACATTAAAAGAAATCATGCGCAGGCTTCTACCATGGGAAACAACTTCTTTCCAACCTTCCAAGCCCTGTGGTGATGGACTAGTGGTGATGGGGACAGGATTAGTGAATCTGGCAGTCCCTAGCCACGAATCTGCACAGAGGCAGTGGTAGTTAGATGGTTGTCTGGCACCTGGACTGATACAGGGGTGCAATTCGGCAGCTACTATTGCGACTGAGCAGTCCTCTTTAGGATCCCCTCTGCTCACCCCACATAGGGAGAGGGCTATAAAAGGTGCCCTACACCTAGGCTGTCTCATACACTCTGGGCAGGATTACTGCATCCAGTGGGATCATTCTGCCTGCGGTCGAAGCTATAAAAAGAAGGTTCGCACCCTGATGGATAACAAAGATAATATACGGCCGGAAAGAAGAATTGCTATCGTTGCCAGGGATCTTGCAAGATATAACATCGATGCCGCTTCCCTAAGTGAGACAAGGTGCCCAAGTGAAGGTCAACTGAGAGGACAAGGTGGAGTCTACACCTTTTTCTGGAAAGGAAAATCTGCAGAGGACAGGCGCATTCATGGTGTCAGTTTTGCAATTAGGAATAAGTTTGTCAGTCAGCTTACAGAATTTCCTGTAGGAATCAATGAACATTATGTATGGAAACTATCGTGGCATTCCCTTGCTATCTACATCAGGGAAAATTCTTGCCCATATCCTCTTAAACCGATTACTTCCCCTTGCTGAGGAAATATTGCCGGAATTTCAGTGTGGTTTTACACCATCACGCAGGACAACCAACATGATCTTCGTTGCCTGCCAAATGCAGGAAAAGTCTTGGGAGCAAAATCAGGACCTGTACGTGGGTTTCATCAATTTGACAAAGGCCTTTGACTCTATCAATCACAAAGCCCTGTTGAAGGTGCTGGCCAGATTTGGCTGCCTTCCAAAATTTATTAAGGTCCTAAGGCTTCTCCATGCTCAGATGACTGCCATGGTTCTCTGTAATGGCCTTGAGATGGAACCTTTCATCATCAAAACTGGGGTTAAGGAAGGATGTGTTATTGCCCCAACCCTGTTTTCCATCTATTTAGCAGTCATTTTGGTCCTAGTTAAAGATCACCTCCCCAATGGAGTTGACATTCAATATAGAGCGGTTCTTTAATCTTTGACGTCTCCGCTAGAAATCTAAAGTCTTCAGGGCGTCCATTACTGATCTTCAGTATGCTGATGATTGTGTCATCCTTGTGCACACTGAGAAGGACCTTCAGTCCAGACTGGATTTTCTTGCACAAGCTTACCGAAGCCTAGGACTCTCATTCAATATTGAGAAGACTAAAGTGCTCTATCAACCTGCTTCAGGCCTTGCACATGACCCACAACAAATCACCATAGAGGGACAGACTTTGGAGATAGTCGAGCACTTTTGCTACCTCAGTAGTCAACTTTCTTAAAATGAAAAAATCAACAGTGAGATCCAGCACAAGTGCTTCCTTTGGGAAATTTCTCTGACACATTTTCACAGACCATGACCTACAGCAGGACACCAAGATCCAGGTCTATAAGACAATTGTTGTTCCTATGGATGCGAAGCCTGGATGACCTATTGACAGCACCCCAAATGTTTGGAGAGGTATCACCGATGCCTCCAGAAGATCCTTCGCATCAAGTGGCAAGATCGCCGCACTAATGTCAGCATCCTCGCTGAAGCCAATGTCACCAGCATTGAAGCTATGATCCTCATGCATCAGCTTTGCTGGGCTGGACCTTGTGTGCGGATGTCAGACTTTCGCCTCCCATAACAAGTCCTCTACTCTCAGATCACCCATGGTCAGAGATCATGTGGTGATCAGAGGAAATGCTACAAAAACACACTGAAAGCATATCTTAAGAAAACTGATGTGAACATCACAAGCTGGGAAGAGCAAGCCACCAACCAACCCCATATCCTCCATCAGGCAGTGGCCCGCTTTGAGGAGAAGCACCTTGCCCTCAAAGCTGAAAAGAGAGAGAGGAGCAAGGAGAAAGAAAAGAAAAAAGAAAAAAAAACTTTCTCCCAGTAGGCCGCTGGCCTGCCACAAAATGTCTGTACCTACTGCAGGTGGATTTGCAGTTCCAGGATCAGACCCCTGAGGCATCTCAGGACCCATATGTAAATCTGTGGTAGAGATCATCCTCAAATTGAGGGATTGCCAATCAATCAGTTTACACCAGCAGTTTCCATATGGGGCAGCTAGAATGCAGCACGTTAGTGTGCTCGCAATTCATACACTCGTAGTCTGAACTGCGGGGCCCTGTAGACAAGCCATCATTGTTTTTCACCACCCCTTCCTTGGCTCCTTCTCCTAGTCTTTGCCTAGTTAATCCCAGTTCTTCATCAAATCTCAGTATTCCCTCTCTCCCACAAACTGGCTCCCAGGCCCTCTTGTCCAACTCCCACTCCCAGTTTCCTTGCCAAGAGTCCGAGCCTCCCCCATCCCAATTCCTAGTCTCAGTTTCTGGATCCAGCACAGCCCACAGCAGAGCCCAGAGCTGCAATTGTAGGGAAGTCCTGCTGAGCTCCAAGCGAAAGAATGCCCAGTGTGGACAGAATCTTCAGGGAATTTAGTTTCTAACATTCAAGAAGTTTCTGTTGAGCTGTGTGAACAGCTTATAACTTGGCCAAATTTGGGTGGATGTTCACATAGATAGCAAAAGACATCCCTTACAAGAAACTAACTCCCTGCTAAATTTCAAGTCCCTGCTTGAAAGTGTGGGGATACAAGTGCTTTTCAAAGAATTCAACATGGGCAAAACAGTGTATTTCCCTAGCCACATTCTCAGAAATGGCTGAACCATTTTGGCTGAAGTTTTCTAGAAAAATTTAGCCTGAATCAGGCATGGGGCATTAAAATTTTTAACCCAAATGGTTAAAGTTTGGCAAAGTTCTAAGCAACTGAAAACACGGTCTTATAATGGGAAGTGTCAGGCAATGTTAATACCTGGCAGCACTATGAGCACTCCCTATCTTTACGTGTTGAGCTCCAAAAGTTAGCATAAAATAATGAGGCCTGTTTTGCAACACAGATTCTATCTCCTGAATTTCTGCATCTCTTATTCGACTACAGAATTAGCAGGAGTTACAATCTATTTGTTGAGCCCAGGACTCACCATTCCCCGTGAAAGAAGAGCAGATATCTTCTTATGTGAAAGCCGATCAGTCCTGATACAGCAAAGCATTTATACATGTGCTTAATTTTAAGCATGTGAGTAGTCACCTGGAAGTGGGCCAACTTTCTGTGTCCCTGCTTTAGTTTGTTTTGTTTTTCCTTATTGTTCATTTTGTGTATACTTGTCTTGCACATTTTGTTATAATTAAAAATATTTGAGCTCAATTAGAGACACCATAGGGTGTTTTAAACAGCTTGGGCCAAATGCTGTTGGCAGTTATAGTGGAGCAACCTCTTTGAAGTCCACAAAGCACAACTCAAAGCGGATTTGACTCATAGTCTCTACTACAGACAGCTATTACTCTCTAGTGAGATTAAAGGCTTATATCCTCAACTGATATGAATCAGTGTAACTCACATGCACTGATTTACAGCAGTCAAGGATCTGGCCATAAGTAGAACCAGTTTGATGATTTGTATTATCATAGCACTTGTGAACCACAGCCATGGTCCAGGTTTGTACTAGGTGCTGTACAAACTAAGAATAAAAAGCTGGTCCCTGCCCCAAAGAGCTTATGTGACAAGACACTGTAGGCAGACTTTGTACTGAAATATCCCACCCTCCTTTATGCTGTTTGTTTTACAGGGATAGCTCCCCGTCCTGAGAGACAAGGTGAATTGGAGAGATTTTTGCTCATTTATTTGTGCTATCGAACAGATTTTCCAGGAGGAACGTATGTTTGTTCTAAATCAGACATCTCCAACGCCATGACAGACCACTTGGTCTAAAAGGTAACTGGCTGAAAATATGTTTGGGTTAAGGACAGAGATACAGTCCAAATACAACAGTCTACAAATACATAAATATGGGCCTGATTCTGTCAGCTCTCCCCTTGTGAAGCTCCCATTGACTTTAATGAGAGTTGTGCACATAAAGAGCTTGCAGGCTAGGGCTCTCTTTAAAAATATAAGACTGAGGAAATATTGATTACCTGTTGTCAGGTTGTGCTGTCTTAGAATTTCTTTTACTGTTGGCACTGCTAAAGAAACACATTAGATACCAAGTAATGAAATTTTAGCATTTAAGTAAAAACACACAACTGATAGGTTTTGAACTGGTTAACACTTTACAGTTCATAGAAACAAAACAGATCAAAGTGGATTTTGCAAACAAACTTTTTAAAAAGGGAAATTTCAGAACAAGGAAAACTGTGCCTAACAAACCTGCTTTATTAAAATATTACTAATAGCTGTCTTCAGACTGACCATTTGAATCCTCAAAAAAGTATGCCTGATCATTTTGTGTGGACAGATGTCTCTGATTTTTGTGGATCGGTGTGTGAAGGTCTGGCTCTAGGTGGGCCTTCCAGATCTGCACTTCTATGAAAAATGATCTCTGTTTAACTAGCACGAATATCCATAAATTGGTCTCCATATATGTGGTTTCATGCCTTTCAGTACCTTCGTCTGTCTGTCCAATGCTACTAATTATTTTACTGGGCATTACATAAACCATCATAGCAACTGCAAATGGCTGTAGTGTTTGGCTGAACAAAGCAGTGTTTGGTTGAAACTGTGGAGCCCAAACAGCTTAGCCAGCATGTCTGTGACCAGGAAATGTTTTACACAAATGATAATTATCTCGAATTGTGAATGCAGTCATCACAAAATATACAGGTCAGCAATTCAAAATATCCCACACACTGGGGAGATGGAACCCACGCTAGCTCCAAATATGCTGTCCCAGCACGCAGCATTATGGCAGACCAGGAAGGGGCCACTACACTCCTATGTCGATACAGTGGCTGGGAATCCTGCAGACAGGCTAATATACCAGCTGTGGAAGGGGCCACATTGCAGCCTACCTCCAGGTTCGAGGTATTGATTTCATCCCTCCACCTCATGCACAGAGGGCTCTATATGCTGAATTACTTTGGCTTCATGTGCAACTCCAGGGTTTCCCCCTACACACATTAGAAAGACTAATAAAGCTCTCCATTCTAATCCCTGTAAAACCTGATGTTCTCATTTTAAATTACTGCTTGCAGAGCTTCTCTTCCCTTTATTACCTTTGGCTTTTCCCTCTTTGGGATGTTTCTTCTCTGTTTTTGCTACAAAGGAGAAAGGAATATAACAGTTTAGGGAAGGGACAATTTAACTTTGTAACAATCAGATTATCAAGGTCAGTCTTCAGTTGAAACTGGGGCAAACCATTCCGAGATTGTTTCAAACAACAATAATAAGAGTTGTAATGTTCACAGCAAGGACAATGAGATTACTACTATGGTGATCTTACACACACAGACTTCTCAAATAGTCGGCTTTTACCTTCTCTTTCCTTTGCAGCCTTTTCTGTTTTTTTCTTGGCTAGAAAGATTTGTAAGGAAATATCATTAACTAAGAGGCCTTTATTGGGGATTCTATTTTGGACACATAGAGCAAATTGATCCCTGGTGTAACTATTAATGTTCCTAAATTTACAGCAGGGATAAATCTTGCCCATTTCAACGGACTGTAGGTCTACAGCACTATATTCTTTTTATTAAGCTTTACTCCAAACAAACATACTTGTCTTAGCATGACATATGTGTATGCCCTTTTTCAGCATTCCTTTTCCAACCCCCCAGAATACAGCTAGTCAGCTAAGGCTATTCTCAGCTAAGCACACTGAAATTAACTAAGGTGGATAACTGCAGGCATCTGCGCCATTCCAATATTCCCTGTTGAGTACAGCAGAGATCTGGCAGTATGCCTTAGAACTGTTCATTTTCACTCCATATGATCCAACCAGCTGTAATAAGGATTCAGTGTCTCTTGATGCATGTGCTATCTGATTAACGCAAGCTGGCTTAATGCTAATCACCTCTGTCTAGCTCACCCAAACACACTTAAAAATAAATAAATACAGTGACTACAAAAGAATCAGTTCATCAGGCCAGATTCTCAACAGCTGTAAATTGGCGTAGTACTCACGATTTCAGTGGAGCTATGCCAGATTACACCAGCCAAGGATTTGGTTAATCATGTTTAGAGAGGTTGTGTTTCACTGCTTTACTTAGCTAGATGCTAAAAAAACATGCCCTCAATGAAGGGACTGGATTTATGGCTTATTATAACAATCTGTAACACACTAACCCCCTTATTTCCCTATGACTACAGAGGAGTTAATGGGCCACTTCACCTTGAAGGGTCCCTTAGAATCCGTGCTAACTACTTATGCTAAACTATCTGTTCAATATTGTATTTGGCTGTGACATGCTTAGTACCTTTCCCAGACCTGAAGAAGAGCTCTGTGTGGCTTGAAAGCTTGTCTCTCCCACCAACAGAAGTTGGTCCAATAAAAGATATTACCTCACCCACCTTGTCTCTAATATCCTGGGATGAACAAAGCTACAACAACACTGTATACAACTGGTCCTTTCTGTTAGACATTTAAGAGAAGTGTAAAATTTACCTGCTACTGTCATTTCAGATGCTGGTTCTTCAGGAAAACAATCAGAAATAAATAAATAAATAAAAATGAAGACATTCAGGCTTGATGTTATTTTATTTTTAGAAGTTGACAGTTTTGATAGATCTTAACTTTCAACTGCAGCTATCCCCACAGGATATTAATTTGGAAATAAATGAGTCCATGCAATGGACATGTAAACAGAAATTAAACAGTGAAAGCTGCGAATCCTACCCTTTGAAGTGCTGTAATCCAACATGCAGCTACTGTGCCAATGAAAGCTTTTCAGATCAGTAAGTATTTAAATAGGGTTCTTTTCAGATAAGCACTCAAGGTTATAGCTACCTAACATCTTTTTTTCTGTAAAGCGGGTTTAAGTTTTCACCTCTGCTGTCCTACCAGCCATGTACCCTAATTAAGGGCTCTGACACTGACTTGCTGTCTGACCTAGGACAAGTGACTCCACCTCTCTGTACCTTTTGTTCCCCCAAACCATCTGCCTTGGCTTTTTAGACTGTAAGCTATTTGGAGCAGGAACGGTCTCTTGCTATGTGTTTGTACAGCACCTTGCACAATCATTTGTGGTCCCGTCCCTAGGAACTGATGCAAAAAAAAATACACAACAGATACAACAGACCAGCTCCTTAGCTGGTGTAATTTTAACATAGCTCCAGTGAAGGATCTGCATCAATTTACACAGGGCCAGATTAATTTGTTGTGAGTCTCCCGTAGGGTGACCAGATAGCAAGTGTGAAAAATCGGGACAGAGGGTGGGAGGTAATAGGTGCCTATATAAGAAAAAGCTCCAAATATCAGGACTGTCCCTATAAAATTGGGACATCTGGTCACCCTAGCCCCCCACCCTCTGCTCCACCCCAAGACTCTGCCCCTGCTCAGCCTCTTCCCCATAAGGCCCCATCCATGCTTCACCCCAAAACCCCACTCCCTATCAGCCTCTTCCCCCTGAGGCCACACCTGCTGCTCACACGGGGGGGGGGGGGGGGGGTGGGGAGGGGAGTGAACAGGGGGAGGGGGAAGAGAGGAGCGAGTGGCGGGGTGAGGAAGGGGCCGCGGTCCAGGCACTGCGGCCCCTTCTGAGGGAGGACCCGACGCCGTGGCACCATTGTAAACCCAGTACTGAATTTACATGGTTTGAGACCTGGTGACTGGAAAATGAAACCGTCTCTTTCCCCCTGTTTCATTAATATTCGTTTTATCCTATGGATTTTAAGATAAGAAAAGACAGAAACCCTGCATGCCAGACAGAAACGTAATCCCTTTTAACTAGAACAGTACAGAATTGGATGGGTTCAGTTTGCAGGGATATATATAAACTTTTCTTGACTTTGGGTGGACTATCACCTTTCGCTTCAGCTGAAAATGGTGTGTTTCATCTGGTGGCTTCTCTATCAAACAGGGTTGGCCAAAAGTTTTCCATCAAAACTGTTTTTTTTTTTTGGATGGAAAGTTGCATCTTCAACTAAACAAACTTTTTACAAAATATGTCCATTTTCTTTGGAAAATGTAGACTTTGTTTAAAAACTGAACATCCAATAATAATAATTATTATAATAATAAATTTGAAAATGCTGCATGGTGCCCCATGGGAGTTGTAGTTTGGGCACCTCATGCCCCAATTATCATCTATTGTCCATTTTCTGCCACCAGACTACCTCTCCCCTTTGGCTGTTGAACAGGAAACTGTCTGACTCCATGGTTGGCCTAGGTTGGTGGATGAGGGGAGGCATAAAGAAGACTTAGAGTCACCTTTGTCTTCTCCCCCCTCATCTGCACCAAGACCAAAAAGCTGGGGATTAAAACCAGTGTTAAAATGTTGAGAGAAATTGTACCCCAAGGTTGGGAATTTTACTACTGAATTCTGCAGAGGCAGTGAAGGGCCAATGTTGAGATTTTCTGAAAATTCCACACTAAATGTTTCTCCCACTATATGTTAGCATTTCATATAATTAAACAATTACTTCTTATTTAAGAAAAAAATACCACAAGCTTTGTCCTCTGTTCAAGGTAACCAGTCATAATTTGATAGCCTTTAAAAGTAATCAGTATGCAGGAACTGTGTTTTTGATTTAATTAAAGCCTCTGATTTGATAAATGACCAATTGCCAACACAGACACCATTTCACACTAAACTGGAGATAATGAAAATAGGATGGTTTACTAATTATTTTAATGAAGAAATGCTAATTAATGTTGGTGATTACTATTAAAATTTACAGAGATAATTTGGGAGTACTTCAGACTTAGATTTTTATTTCTGTTTATGGCCTGCCTTTCACATAATGAGCCAAATTGTTCGCTGATTTATGCCCAATCCATTGATTCTAATGGGATAGCATAGGGTACAAACTGGAAAGAAATTTGACTCAAAATATCCGTATACATTTAGCATATAGCTGTGCTACACAAGCCCTTAAGACCATTGATTACTCAGTATCCATGGCTTTACAGTGCTATAACGTACATATAAATTAATTAGAAATATTTGCAGTGAAGCCACAGTTAGTACTAGGATTGGGCAGCCCCTAATCAGAATAGATGCTCTTCCTTGAGAGTGAAAAGATCAGTTAAAACCAAGAGATATTAATGTAAATGAGGATGCTCTATAAAGCTGATCCAGAAAGTCTTTTAACTAGAACTACACAGGGATTACTGGATCAGGGTATAAACTGTAGATAAAAATATGTAGGTACACAGTTGGCTGTTTGCTGACATTAAATAAATTAATGGAGATATCCTATTTCCTAGAACTGGAAGGGACCTTGAAAGGTCATTGAGTCCATCCCCCTGCCTTCACTAGCAGGACCAAGTACTCTTTTTGCCCCAGATCCCTAAATGATTGAACTCACAACCCTGGGTTTAGCAGACCAATACTCAAACCACTGAGCTATTCCTCCCTCTTTCCTGCCCATGTTCTTAATGTCCTGAACTGGAGAGAGTTCAGAGGAACTCTTTTCAACTACTGAAGAAGAAAGTTAGAACAAAAACTACTCACAGAAGAGAACAGAGTTATCAGCTACCCAAACTACAAGTCCCCCAGGACACTGTAGTAGCTCAGAAGGATGTGGTCTACTATCAAACTGAGCAAAAATGAAACATTTTGATTCAGTTCCACACACCAAAATTAAAGGCTTGCATTTCTGAATTGAAATTTGTCTGTTTTCTGCTAAAACTTCTAGGCTTTGGGTGATTTTTTTAAATTAAAAGTTGTAATTTTTCCACAGAAAGCAGATCCTTTCCCCTAAGAGTTCTGTTTTGTTGACACAATTTTTTGTTACAAAACAGTTTCAAAGGTAAATTTTCTACCAGCACTAGTGCTGAGGGGTTGCTGCCACCTGCTGACTTCAGTGGGAGTTGAAGGTGGTCAAGACCTCTCAGGATTTGGCTTTATAATTTTCATTCATACATATTTGTATCACAGTAGCACCAAGAGGCCAGGGCCCCATTGTGCTAGGCACTGTACAAACACATAACAACTGCCTCAAAGACCTTTCTGATCATTTATATGCCAAGGTATGTACTTTAGTTATTTTCTCAGTACCCAAGCACTCATCTTTTTACAGGTTTTCCTTCTCTTCTGCTGACAGACACGTCCCTGCAAACAAACTATATTATTGTAGTTCACAAGTTGTACCACAAGCTTTTTCTCTTAGAAAGACATGAACAAAGTTGTATTAATGGTGGTTTATTTATTTTAAATGAAAACTTGTTTCAGAATCACTCCTAAGGTGGTAACTAGTTTTTCCATGTTCTCTGTCCTCAGTCTGTTTTAATTAAGTTCAAATATTACTTTATCTGAATATTTCTTTAAAGTATTGCTAAATTATTTCATTAGTGCAGCTTTCTGTAAAGAATATATATCTGTTTTGCCTACATTAGAAAATAATGGACATTAGTTCATGTGATCTGAAATGACTCTCAGATTCCAAGAGATATCATATAATAATGTCAATAGATTATTTTAGTTTGAAGGATTAACCTCCACATATTGTATGGGCCAAATCCTCCCTTTGACCTCAATGGGCTTTGGCTTTCAATTGACTTAAATGGGCTTTGAATCAGACCTTCTATGAACTACATCTATGTTTTAATTCTATTAATTAATTAATTCGCACATTTCATAAGCATAAACACTGATCTTTATTAAAAGTATTATAGTCGTTAACACAATGTGCAGTATGTAACATCTAATTTCACAATGTAATTGACACTAATCCAATCCTTCTTTACATAACCAAAACTCCCATAGTTCTCAACAAGGGGAATTTCTGGAGTGCAAGGAAGACTCATTCTGTGTGTGTTGTCTAATTTCTCTTCTAACTCACTTAAACATCATGATCTTTCATTCTCTTCTTCATTTTAATTGGGTATTTTATTCTGTTAGATGTAAAAAATACAAGCTATTGAAAAAGCTAGCAAACATGCCTGGTTAATTCTCTATACAAACTATTTCCCAAACAGTACAAATACATTATATAACATTTTCTTCTAATTCTGTTATGTTTTAATTATTCAAATTAATCTATAATTTATCAAAAATTGATCTGACCACACCTACCTAAAACCACACTAATCTAAATTATCCTACTAGGATCATTTACTTTACTTATATAAAAAGTAATCACAAACTAGCTTATATGACTATTGCAGCTTCACAATATTAGATCACCAGTAGCTTTGGCTCACTTGCTTTTTAAGCAGAATGAATAAAATCCACAATGCATCACTTTTAGAAAAGAAAATAGCATTCTCTAGCATGACAAAGTTGCAAAAATAAATCCCAATCCAAGGCATCATGCATCTAAAGGCAGGTTTATATTCAGTAGAAAATGTTTATGGCACATACTTGCAGTTACTTTTGATCTGGCTGAGAAGTAAAAGAGGGAAGAATAATATTCAGAATAGAGATGTATGGAGAAGGCTGGCATAATATTTTTCCAGCCCAGGCTTACTTGATTTATTAATTGTCACATATAATTAAGCATTGTTTTTAGTGAAGTTACTATTGTAACTAACATTATAACTAAAACAATAATGATAATCACTTTGAGCTAGATAAAATGTGCTATATAACAATGAAATATAAATTATTAACAATAGCCACGTTACATCTACACAGCTTCTTTCACTCTGGAGTCCAGAGCAGAATCTCTCTTTTATAGGGGTGGTCATCACTTTATAGTGAAATTGAACTGTACTGCTTTTTACTGCTGCAGTAACTACATTGCACAGAGATACTTCATACTAATGATAATATCCAAAAGTCATTTAACAAAATAAAAATGGATAGTCCAATGTGATGGATTGAAGAAGCTAGTATATAAAATGCTAATATTGGGAGATAACTATCCTTGAGGAAAATGGCAACTGTACCTGGTCCTGAGAATTTGAACCATGCAGGAGTTCAATGAAATCCAAATGAATAGCAGAATGATACCAAAAATATTTTGTAGGTGAGAGTATTCAAAACAAACACTTTTCAGACAATGGGTCAAACTCTGCTGACATAACTCTCTTGACAGAGTGGAGTCAAGGAAGCAGGAAATTGTCTTTATATAGCTGAAGAAATGGACATAAGAATTCTAGTGACATGTAATGGCTATTTGCCACACTTCAAGGCCACAGTATGCTGCAAAAAGTTCAACAGTGTCATGCACTTGTACATTTTGGCATTTGTCATATCCAGTTCTATTGTGACTTTTATCTACACAGCAGTTTCAAATGTAGGGATAACTGAACATACAGTAAAGCCTACCTGATTTTGTTTGTGGAACTTCTTTTTCGTGTCTGACAGCTTCATTCTCTATACAAAAGCAGCACCATGAAAAAGCTAAGTCAGTCATACCTTTTTTTAAAGTAAGTAAGAGCCACGTGCATGTTTTCTTCAAGAGTAAACATTGATCTTATATTGTGCATGCTGTTATTGTGGAAGAAAGCCAAATGACTAGCCTCTAGCAGTCTATTCATTATGAAGTCTGCAGCAAAGTAGCAATAAGTAATATTGCATCTAGGTGTCAAGTCTCCTTGTGACATAACAGGAGTTATGCACGTACATCAAGGGATGAAAAACTCTGCAAGATGGAGATTCAAAGCATATGCCGCAAAACCAACAAGGGGGTAATTTTTTAATAGTATAAATTCAGTACTTATGGTTATAGTCTACCCTCAAATCAGTAGCACAGATCACAAATAGGTGGATCATTGAAGTATTTTGGGGACTAATACTCATCACTGGGGATCAATGGGAACTCACCTTCCAAACAGTGGTTTCTATCAGCTCTGTAATTATTCTATTGAAAGTTCTGAATTCTCAAAAAAGGAAAGTGCTGTGCAAATTTACCACCCTTTTACCAAGCATTTATGTTTGCAAGTCAGATACTTAAGCTGAACTCCAAAAGTCCAGAATACATCCCAGTTAGGGTTGACAACCTTCCTGGTTTGGCAGGGAGTCTCCCAGAATCAGGCTCTATCTCCCAGAGCTACTGAAGCTAAACCAGAGGATTTTAGGCACTAAAAGTCAGGCGGGCTAAGGCAGGCTCCCTACCTGCCCTGGCCCCACACCACTCCTGGAAGTGGCCAGAACATCCCTGTGGCCCCTGGGGGAGTGAGAGGGTCTCCGCGTGCTGCCCTCACCCTGAGCAGTGCCTCTGCAGCTCCCATTGGCCAGGAACTGGGAGCTGCGGGGGTGGGCCCTGCCCCCCGAGGGGCCGCAGGGATATGCTGGCCACTTCCAGGAGTGATGTGTGGAGAGGAAATAAACACACCTGCTTAAATGAAAACTGCAGCAACCCTAAACTCTCATAGCACAATAGTAGCTAGGCCAACTGCACGCAACTAGGGGCCAGAGCAATTTTTAGAGCAGAAGGATCAGGTGAGTGCTATGTGCAGGGGCGGCTCCAGGCACCAGTGCAGCAAGCGCGTGCCTGGGGCGGCAAGCTGCGGGGGGCGGCCTGCCGGTGTCTGTGAGGGCGGCAGTCAGGCAGCCTTCGGCGGCATGCCTGCGGGAGATCTGCCAGTCCCGCGGTTTCGGCAGCAATTCGGCGGCGGGTACACCGAAGCAGTGGGACCGGCAAATCACCCGCAGAAATGCCGCTGAATCTGCGTAACTGCGGACCGCCACCAAAGGCCGCCTGACTGCCGTGCTTGGGGCGGCAAAAAACATAGAGCCGCCCCTGGCTATGTTGGCCATTGTTTCCTTCTCTGATGCCCCTGACATTGTCAGAAAACAGATAGTAGCAAGACATACTTAAAGGTGAACTGCAAAGCTAAAAAAAAATTAATTAATCCTAGAAATCACTGCTAAATGCCTCTATCGCATCCCCGTTAAGATTATCAGGAGTTCCATGATTAACTGTGATTCCACAGAATGAGGCACTCTGGGAAATGTCTAGAAAACCAGGAAGTGCCAGGGATTTCACACAGGAGACGATGAATATAAAACAATGAGTTAAAACTTAATTTTGTGCTGACTGACCCCTCCTTCCACATACACAGGGCCTTATGGGTTGGGAGTACTTTTGTGCTCAATTCAAATTTTCACTTCACCTTTGCAGTCCACCTGTACGTCTTGAAGAAAAGAAGGGCACAGAAAGTCAACAAACTTACCATACTTTAAGCCCATTTATTCAGACACTGGCTAAGTGTTCTGACATTTTTTTAAAATTCATCTTACAGTTACTGGGACACATTCCATACTCAGTTACACCCTCCCAATCCCATTTGAGGGTGAGCTGAATTTTGCATAATGTGTTTTTTCCCATTGTTGTTTACTTGAACAGCAGTGGTCATTCAGCCCCAAGTGATGGTTAACAATGAATCTTTAAAAGTCTGCTACTCCTTTATTCATTTCTTTATTGAAAAATGTGATATGGGAGGGAACATGATGAATACTGTGCTAATGCAGTTGGTTACGGAAAACTGAATGGGCTGCCAATTAGGAATGATAAACAAGTATGTTAAATCAAAGCAATAGCCGAGATTAGGATTGCTGGGATAGAGAGAATGAAGCGTTAAGCAAAAAACTAATAAATTACCAATACAAAGTTTTTATTTGTTAAAAGTAAAATAGCCACACATCCAACTATATTATAGGATTTGTCCTTATCAAGGTATATACCACATACTTGCTGGCTTTGACTTGACTACAGAGGATAAAAGAAGGTAAAAATGTCATATTTAGGGATAAAGAACAAAGAAATACATTGTAAACATTTTGCCTACTTACTTTGTTCCCTCCCTTTTGTATATTCCCTCCTCACTCATTCTTAGCTGAACCCTCTCATTCCCTTCACATGTAAAGATGTATAAGTAATGTTACTATGGGCCAGATTTACAAAGGTATTTAAAAAAAAGTTTGAATTTAGTTGTAGAAAAGGCTGAAGATACACGGATGCTATTGTTTTCCTTCCCTAAGTTAGTTTTCTCAACCTTGATAGCTAACTCATTGAACAGTACTTGTAGATATGATTTGAGGGTCCCAATATTCCATATAAAAATACCGCAATATAGTATTTTGTATTTTCCCCAAAGCTATTAATACACCGATATAAAAGTTAAACTGTTTTGGACTTTACTGTGGAAATCTGCAGTAGTATATTTGTATAATGAATATCAAAACAATATTTTTATTAGCTAGGCAGGCCTGATGTTATGTATCATCACTTTGTGTTAAAATACCATTGTTATGCAAATTCCTAGACAGTGCAACATAAAGACAAACAATATAATTAACAATTACTCTTTAAATAAAGCAACTGTTTTCAAATATGCACTATATCAATGGGTATCTAATTTGCAAGATAGGTCATGCACCAAATAAGAAGCATATTCAAAGTAACACACAGGAATTATGCAATAAAAATATCCACAAAACACTTTATTTGGATAATTTATTATTACTACTATTATTTGACTAGAAGCCCCAATCATGGACCAGTACCCTAAAGAGCTTACAATCTAAATTACTATTATACTTGATCAACTCTGAGGTACATAGCATCTTCCTAAAGAAGTATGCTCATGGGGACTGTCTGGATCTAAATGCCATCAGTTACATATTTCAAAATTATTCTGAGTAATAACTACAATGTAAATTTAGTACATAAGTGTGAATTCTGAACAGTATTGAAAAAAAGCATAAATCTAGAAAGGATGACACCTCCCTTACCTGATTTTTCAGTGGGAGCTGTCTTTTCTTGTTTGATTTTTTCCTCTGTATTAAGAAAAGGGTATAAAAGATAGAAATTCATGTGATGTTAACACAGGTGCATAACTAGCAATATATTTATAAATCCAGCATATTTTACACAAATCACCATGACAAAATAAACACAACACATTCTTTTAGCATCACGTTTATTGTAGCACTGTAAAATATGTATTCTGACTGCCTGGTGAGATATTTCATGGCAGGACAAATGATTAGACCCCAAGCTTTAGCAATGGGAAAATCAATAACACTCTTGATAGTGTCTTCCAATTAGCCACTCAAAATGAACTTGTTTTTCCACCTAGCTCATGGTAACAATTTTGGGAACCCCACTCCCAAATCTGTGCTGAGCATTTGCTTCCAAAGAACTAAATTCTCAGGTGCTCTGGGCATGTTCATCACTAGCATTGGCTTGCCAAATCCTCTTTGTTTCATCAGTTTCTTTTTGGATAGCCCTTAGCGGCCACAAAGAAGTGAGCAAGATTTGCCCCTAAATATATACAATAAAATAACTGGTTTATTTCAAAGGGAATTAACACTGATGGAATAAAATCTAGCTAAGAAAAATCTTTATTGTATACTGAAAACAAAGAAGATACAGAACTGAATGGTGAAACCTTTCAGCTGTCACAAAGTAGTTGGTAATTTCTGTTCATTTACATGCAATTTAGTTTTTATTACTGAACTATATTTTTTTCTTTGCAATGTGATTGTCAGGTGAATATGAGCGCTGTGCACTGAAACTGACTCGGCTCCATCTCACAGCTACCTCTGAAACTGACAGGACCATTTGGGCACAGCCAGAAATTTGAAGCAGCAGCTATTTTAGATAAAGCAGCTCTTTTCCACATCTCAGCTAAATTTTAACTCCAATGCATTTCCATTCATCTAGGGTTTGTATATTAACAGTTTCATATACCGATACAGTAGGGAAAGGTCTAGATGACTTTAAAGTGGGCACTATACCATCCAAATGGATTAGTGATGACTGAACCTCAGAAGGTTTGGAGTTTCCATTGCTTTGGTTAAGCACCAAAGTCTCAGTGCTTATGTGAGCCTTAAACTGACTGGTTTTTGCTTTCCCTAGTTATGATGGAAGTCTCACAAGAACATTTTCTCCATGAATCTTTCACTATATCCTGCCTCTTAAAGTAAGAATACAGGGAGGACAGCTTTTTAAATAAATTTGCATGTTGGGATTTTCTGAGGTTAGCGCAGCATTCGATTATAGTAAGACTATGGCTGTGACAATGCTGTGTATTCAGGTGCTTTTGCAATATGTGCAATGAAGTCAGTTTAAGCCAAAGGGCACAAATATGTAAATTTCCAGCTTTCTCTCCTAATACAGGAGAGCAGAACACCATGTCTGAACCCTGTTTGGCATATTGACATCAAATACTCCTGCTGAATTAAGCGTTCATTAGACAGGCATGTGAAATAAAACCTTAGTGTAAACTATTCTTGTAAAAACAACAATTGAGTATCCACAAATCAAACCATTATTATTTGTATTACTGTAGTGCCTAAGAAACCCAGTCATGGACAAGGACCCCATTGTGCTAGGCACTGTACAAACAGAACAAAACAACAGTCCTTGCCCCAAATAGTTTACACTCTAAGTATAAGACAAGAGACAACCGATATAGATAAACAAGCAAACAATGAGACAACAGACAAATCTTTGTGTAGTTTTGAACATGATTTGTTAAAAGTAAGGACCCCTCTCCTATATTCAATCAACTACCAGATGTCCTTAACCTAGTCTTCTTCAGCTTATGGATCTGCTCATACTCCTGGTGGCAGATCTCCCTGTTATGGATGCAGCCCTCCTTCTCACGTCCAGTCAGATCTTCAAAAGGTGGCTGGATAACCCTTTTACCTGCCTCTCTAAGCACTGAGTGAAACCAGGTAGGAAGATAGAGGGACTGGGTTAGGGAAGTCTTTGAATATCTGGTCCTTACCTAAACCCAATACATCCCCCAAACTTTTGAGTAGAGATAGTTGGAAAAACTTTGATGGAACCACTTTCTGTCAGGGTATGTAATACCATTGAAATCAAAACACTTCATGAAGTCCTGCTGAGTTAGTAAAAATTCCATTTTGGGGAAATAGTTCTGAGTTTCAGAGTGTCCCGTTTTAACATTTTTTGGAAGGAAACATTTTGATTTTTCATTTTGAAATTACTTTTGCCCCACTTTTTCAACATTTTGTATTGTATTGATATACAGTATAACAACACATTAAAAAAGATTGTCAAAACAAAACATTTTGATTGATAAATAAAAGAATCTTTCACAGAATGATTTTCAAATGTTCACATTTCATTCTGCTTAGGAATGAAGTCAAATTTCAAAATGTTGAAATTCGACATGAAACAGAATTTCCTTCCTTCAAACATTACTTGTTTTGATGTTTCCCATCATTAATATTCTTTCTTGTTCTGATATAGTTTTAAATGTGAAAACAAAGTCACAAATTGATTCTTGTATGTTTCCCCTGATTCCAACAGAGTTTCACCAGGGATGAATTTGGTTCTCTTGCTTTGGCTGGTCACAAATATATCTGAATTTAAATTTTTCCCTTTTTGGGTCAATATGTTTTCGTACATCTGTTGATTTCTCAGTCTTGTAATACCTCTGAATTTGGTGGCACGAATGATAGGAATTACATTATGAAGCTGCTGTGAATCAAAGTGAAAAAAGAGGCAGCTCCCCTTGAGGTTTTTTTTATCCTTCAGGCCGGAAGGGCGCCCAGTGGCACCGGGCCGGGTGGGGGGGGGGGGGGGGGGCAAAGGGGGCAATTGCCCAGGGGCCCAAGTGATTTAAAAGGGCCCAGGGGCCCCTGGCTGCTGCCACCGGGAGCCCTGGCCCCTTTAAAAGTTGCCCAGGCAGGCCACAGGGATCCTAGGTGCGTGTGTGGGGTGGTGACCGCTCCGGGGCTTGCGCTTTCGGGGGCCCCACTGCCCGGCATGATTGGCCAGTGCGGTCAGTCCGGAAAGTGATGGATTCGTCACTTCCACACCAGGCCCCGCAGCTCCCTAAGGATGGCCCCGGGGCCCAGAATTGCTGTCAGCGGGTCTGACTGGCACACAGCAGGAAGAAGAACAACTGATGCTTTAAAATAAGTACTTCCAGTCACCAACAAACTGCCACTCTTCTCCAAAGCAACCATGAATCACCCGAGAAAAAATCTCTTATACAAAAACAAATTCAATAATCCAATGTTCTCATTAAGGGTTTAAATTCCAGGGGCTCTAGTCTAGTTTGTAGTTGTCCAAGCTTCTGACCACCCCAACATAACAGCTTTGCAACTAGATGGTTGTATTGGCTGCGTGATATTCAAGAGCCATCGCATTCAGAAATTGAACTATATACTGATATCTGGAGGAGATATGGCTAACCATTCAGTCAGTGCTGATTTCACTGTGCTCACAGGGCAAGTATTCGTGCTGACTGGATGTGTTACATGCAACTAAGCAGCCAAGAAAAAGCCTCCAACCCTCCATCAGTGTGCGGTGAACTGGAACTGGATGGTTTTCATTGCCAAGGGCAGAAGACTGCCTCAGCAGAGGCCACTTATGCTGACATGCTAATTCAACTATCCCATGAGCTGCTGCTGTCTTCTTAGGACAGACTCAGCTCAGGATCTATGCTGGAGTCCAACCATATAGACCCTGATGGAGGCCCCTACAGGTGAAAATTCTGTCAAAGGGGAAGGTTGCAACAGCGGAATGTGGCAGCAACCACCTCACTTCCAGGAGGCCTGCAGGGGTCAGCACTACTTACCAAGTGAGTGGCTGGTTAAGTCAAGAGGGAATCTTAAAGCTGCCCATCCATGAGAGGATGGTGGTACCATTGCATGTCCTCTCTTGGAATAAATCCTCCCATAGGATTCAGGACCAGACTGGTGAAGGAAAAGGTCTTTTACACCTCCTTAAACCAGCTTCACTAAATGTGGCCCATTGTCTCCAGTATCAGTAAACAAATAATGGACAATGAGGCAAAAAACAGATTCTGGATGTTCAAAGACTGGGATGAAGAGCATTGCCTGCCTGCCCCTCCCCCCAAGAAGGCAGCAATAGAAGACCTCTAAATATCACCAGTTGCTCTATGCAGTGGAATGTTGCAGGGAGATCCTACACATATCTATGACATTCTACGTCTACTAGCATGCGCCACTGTTATACAAGGGAGATGGGGAAACTAACATACAAAGAATGAGGATTCCCAATGAAACTATCACAATCACAACAAAAATGTTTGTTCAGACAAATAGGTGAGAAAGAAAGACCTGTCTGCCTGATACTGAAGGAATGCATGTTTGTAAGAAGTATATTAGTGAGCTGATTCAAGAAGAGTTTATTTTTATGCAAAGCTAGTCCCCATGATAACAGCAGCGCTGTCAAACAAGATCAATGAGACTCAAATATCTGCTGTTTCAGTGCCTATTACATATAATAAGGCTATTCAGCAGCAGCTTAAACTGAGCACCAAATAGCTGAGTTTTCTATCAGTCATTTTACCATGGGTTTCTCCTATTGGGCCAGATTGTGAATCCCCTTGCTGTCTCAGTGGGAATATTCATGCAAGTAACTGCAGTCAGAGGGAAGAGATTCACAATCTGGCCCATGGTGGTCCTCACAATGGGTGAAATTCACCCCTGTGCACAGGATCAACACAAGGCCTACTAATCGCTGAACTCCCTGTCCGTAAGTGATTCATAGACTGTATGCTGGTGTTATCTCCCATCCTCTTTTGGACTTTGACCAATTTAGGTAACAAAAGATTGTGTTAGGGAAAAGCTTAAATGGGGAATTCCAAATATTTACCTTGGCTCATTGAGGGCCAGGTTATAAACACCTTACTCCCACTGGTGAGGAGATTCCCATAAATTGTTCCACTGAAGCCAATTGTTCCTACTTGTGTGAACAGCAGCTCACCATCAGGACAAAGATATTCACAATCTGGCCCCATGGGATATACATTTTCTGCTCCCCTGAAGCAAAACAAACCCCTTTCCTGAACCAACAGAAAATCCCCCAGTTCTGTATAGCACATAAAACCTATTAGAACAGGCCCCTTATATGAACCTTGAAACTGAACACAAAAGACTACCTGGTTTGGCATGGGAAACAGCTTTTTCTTGTTTAATAGATTCATGCTCTGCAAATAAGAAAAACCATAGGATAGAGATTACATGTTAGCATAGATTACAGTATTTCAATTTAAAACTGAAATGCTCCTTCCATGAACAGACATACCAGTCCAAAAATCAGATGAAAATGTGTAACTGATGGTGCCATAATTGCCATGCTAGATTCTGACTGCAGTTACACGAATATAAATCTAGAAGAACTCCTTAGGCTTCCATCCCACTCATTTCCTACACTTATAACCCTGCTCTGACAAGGAACATGTGAAGATGCCTTCCTCATTCAAATGTAACTTTCTCCATCGATATTATACTTACTGTGTTCATGAGGTTTCACTACTGTAGCTAGAAAAAAAGAGAAAAAAGTATATTTTTAATATGTCTGTCACTACAGTGTATGTTTTAGTGAGTTTGTTCTATTTGGGTCAATAACACAAAGCTTTGATAATCTATAAAACAGCCAGCGTACTGTGTACAAATACGATGAACATTTGCAAAAACAGAACAGGAGAGCACTGTCATAACCAAATAGCTCCTGACAACTCATTTTAGGCCAAATATGAAGTGATGTGTAAGGCAGTCTAAATTAGGCTCCTGTAAAATTCCCGTAGAACTAATTACACCCACTCTAGCAGCCCATGAACAATTCTAAGTTGGTGGCATTTTAGAATGGGGCAAATTTTTTCACACAAACCTTTCTTTGTGGGGGGGGGGAGGAAATGCTGATTTGGCAAAACCAAAACATTTCATGAATTCACGTCAATTTTGCCTGAATGAAACCAAAACCAAAATTCTGAAAAAATCAAAATGTTTTGACTCAGGATTTTCAAAATGGATAATTTCAGGGTTTTTTAAATTTTGAAATGACTTTTCATTTTGAAATGTCCTTTCATTTGGTTTTTTAAAAAAACCAAAACACTTTAAAATGGTCAAAATCTAAACAAAAAAATTTCAACTCTTTGATTTGCCAAAAATTTCAAAATTATTTGTTTTTGTTTCAACTCTTTTTTTTTTTTTTTTGAATTGCCAATGAATCCAAAAATCCATTATTCACCCAGCTCTATGCCAATTACACTGCTGGCTAGCTATGTGGGGGAGGGGTGTGTGCGTGGGAGGGGGAGTAAATTTCTTTCCACAAAGGGGTGTAGCAATGGCTGCAGGGGATTCATTCTGCCTCCTTGTGTTCACTCTGAATCACTGAGACTCTGCACTCCCCATCACTAAATTGCAAAAATGTTTCCCTAAGTGCTGTACTGCTCCAGTTCATTAGAGAAGAACAAGGTCATAGGGTCATCAGATGTCTGCATATGGTTCAAGAGAGCTCTAGGAAAGGTTGCTGGTGAATACATTGGTCCACACATCACATCCTAATGGGGACATAGTCGACCATGTAAGGTTTTAGCCTCCCCGCTGGTTAGGCTATATGCTGCAGTGCACAGCAACAAGTAGGCAGGAGGAAAACAGTGTTCCTCTTAAGTAGCTCTGCAGCTTGCTTTGCTGGTCAAGTCCTAACCAGGAGTCTAATGTAACACGCTCCTTAGCTGGTGTGAATGGAGCTACTTCAATTTAAACTAACTGAGGACGTGGCCCCTTATCATGATTGGTAGGATACCAGGCAGGACTCAGCGTAGTTTTTCCACATGGGGGGAGAAATACATGTTTTCAGTGTGAAAAATTCTCTGCAGTTCTTTTGCACCTTCAGAGTGAAATACTAAAAGAAATCCAAGATGGCTGGGCTTATTTCACAGTGAAGCAGAAATGTGTCTTCCTTCACAGAGCAGCTATGCTACAATCACCCATTCCCCACTTGTGCCTGCTCTTGTTACCCCAGATTAAAAGAGACAGCAACAGGAGCCAACACTCAGATCACAACAGAAATAATGGAGCATTTTGTGCTAAGAGGGAATGTAGGATAAGAACTCTAAGTGGTGGCAAGCACGGAATCAGCAATGTGAAGGAACTTAACATGGTGATAGCAGCTATCAGTACTCCTAGGGCCCCATTTGTCATGGCTGTGGAATTCACATACCAAAACATTGCACCCCTGCAGTGTTAAGCTACAGTCTTTTTACAACAATCTTTGAAGATGCTTGCTGCACATCTCTTATTCTGTTATGTACATTAGCAACATACTTGATAGTTTGGCCTCGACTTTTTTGCCTAAAAATACATAAAGAATCAGTTTTCAGTTCAAAATACACTTTAGATAAATTCTACTGTATTACAAGATTATAGATGACACATTTGAACTCTGAAGGTGGAACTCAGACTGTATGATGCAAAAAACCTCAAACTAACAGAAAATAAATTCCTTCTCAGCTATGAATTTTAACTGAGCAAATTAAATTCAGAGCAAGTGTCAGTTTAGAATATTAATTTATGGAGCTGAAATAATGGCTGGTGCAACCATAACACGATAGCATTTATAACACTAAGTACTATAATTAACAAATAATAAAAAAATGTTACAGCTAGGCAAATGAAACACAAATATTGATTTAAAAACTCTTGAAATTCATCAAATAATTTGATGGACATTATTTGACCACATCTATAATCTCAATAATAATGGTTTATTATAGCACAGTCTATCCAAGGTTCTCAAATTATTTTCAGACATTAAGAATTCAGCCTTAACATTCCTGTGAAGAAAATATTATTTCCATTTTACATGATGGAGGATGGAGCTAGGCTGTGCCCAGTGGTGGCAGATGACAGAACAAGGAGCAACGGTCTCAAGTTGCAGCGGGGAGGTCTAGGTTGGATACTAGGAAAAACTATTTCACTAGCAGGGTGGTGAAGCACTAGAATGGGTTACCTAGGGAAGTGGTAGAATCTCCATCCTTAGAGGTTTTTAAGACCCGGACTGACAAAGCCCTGGCTGGAATGATTTAGTTGGGGTTGGTCCTGCTTTGAGCAGGGGGTTGGACTAGATGACCTCCTGAGGTCCCTTCCAACCCTGATATTCTATGATTCTATGTGGAAAAACTGGGACACAGAGAGGTTAAGTGACTTGCCTTAATTCACATAGGATTTGCATGTCAGGATCAGGAATAGAACTTGTGTCTCCTGAGTGAGGTAGGTAACTGTGTCCTTATCCACATTTTACAGATGGATTTGTTTAAATTGCAAGTGAAGAATAAATTAACGTTTTTTGTTGTGAAGTCACTTTCCCTAAAAAGGCAATGCCACTTGCCCAAAGCCAGAGGGAGTCAGTGTCAGCATGGAAGTTGAATTTTTAAATTCCTGATTCCCAGACTTATGCTTTAACCTTTGGTTCATGCCTTTCTCTAATCAAATATGCCAAATAATAATTAGATTGGTCAGGAATTTTCCATCTAAATGTTATTTGACAGAAAATGCAGTTTCTGCAAAGTTGAAATTGTACACAAGAAAATTCTGATTTTGCTGAAGTGTTTCAATTTTCTGTTGGGAAAAATCAAAACAAAATATTTAGTTTTGGGTCAAGTTTACCTGACTCAAAACAGTTTGGTTTGTCAAACCTAATCAAAATGACATGGGCCAGTTGGATATTAGCCTATGTCTGCCAAAGCTGCCATGGTGTCTCAAGGAAGTTGTAATTCAGATACCTCACACCGACATTCTCCTCTATAGGCCATCCTCTTTGGCCAGACGACACCTACCATGATGCACTATAGTTTTCTGTCTGGCTGAACTGCCATTGTGCATCATAGGAGTCTCATGGCCAAGGTGCATCATGGGAGATGTAGTCCAACTGTGCAACCTGGCCTACAGTGAGGCCTGGGGGCAATGAAGCAACTGTACTACACTCATGATGCACTTCAGCAGCTCAGGTGGTCACTGATTAATGTCAAATCAAACTGAAATGAAGCATTTTGACATCTCTGAATTGAAAATGTTCAAAACTTTCCATTCCATAGAAACATTTATATTTTGACTTTTCCTCCTGATTTTGGCAGATTATACCTCTCTAGTGATCCCTTAGAGAAAGGTTGGGCACTGCTTCTGTCCCAGAGTCTAGGCCACAACCCTCCAACTGTGCTGTTCAGGCCATCTGCCCTTTGCAGGGTGAAGTTAAATCAGTCCAAACAAAAAGTCAGTATGCTTCTGCAGGCCACAAAATTAATCTTAGTAACCAGACTTGGTAGTTTCACCCGTTACTATTTTTACATTCAGTTCAAATTATGTTTGAATCTTGCCTGCTCTTCTGAGTGCCAGAAAGGTATTAATTATATACGGAATATTCCTGTAAATTAGCTTCAGATAAGGATTGAGAAGAAAAATCCTTCAGTTTATTGAACCATAAATTGGTAAGGCTAAAAGCAGAACATGCTTACTGATTACTGTCATCTAGATGGAAAACTTGACATGTTGTTTACTATTCAGATAGCGAATATATTTTTGTGTGAGTGTGTGTTTGTGTGTGAGCAAGTGAGAACGTGAACATGCATTATAAGAAAAGAATTCATTATTAAGTGAAATGGATGTAATTCTAGAACCATTTATTGTACTAAGTGATAACAAAATAATACTGATGTTTTATAGCTATAGAAATGTATTCTTTGATTTCACAGTTAAATGCATATTATAAACAAAAAAGTTACCCAACAAAGACTCCTGCTGACTTTACTGGGATTTGGACTGGACCCTAAATTCACACTACCATGACATTTATCTGTAACTACATTACAAGTAAAGGACCAAAAGGGAAACTGAGATCAACAGAAGTCTCTTTGGATGTCACAAAGGCAGAACTTGTTCCCTAGAATTTGCACCTCATGCCTCGACACACAAAAGGACCAAATTATGACACTCTTACACATGTTATGTAGCACTTACTCCACAAGAAGTCCTGTCGACTTCAGTGGGGCTATTTAGAGAGTAAGGTACTATTCAGCGTGAGTAAGAATGTCAGAAGCTGTCCTCAAGTGTTTAAATAGATTCGCTCTTTAAAATGTGATCGAAACTTTAAAAAAAAAATGAAGATATACCTTCAGCAGCAGGATGAAGGACTACTTTAGCATCTTTCACCTTTTTGGCTTCTAAAATCACTGTAAACGAATAAATAATATCAAATGAAGATGTAATACAAAGAAAAATCCCTCTCCAAATAAAATATGATGTTTGAGACTACGCAGAATCCCAAAACAAAGTGAGAAAAGTAAAAAGACGTGGAATTTTTAATGCCTTTCTCTCTGATGTCCCTATTAGGAAAACATTTAAGCATTTGCTTAAATCCCTCCCTCTCCACAAAAGCACATGCCTAGAGTTAATCATGTATTCAAGTTTCAGTGCCTTGAAAGGAATTTAAGCTGCTACTTAAGGGCTTTCTTGAATTAGGGTCTAAAAGCTTCTCTCCCATATGAATGCGCTTTGCTCCTTTTAAAATTCCCAAGGAACATACTTCAGGGAACAGTATGAGTTAACATGTGTCACATGATTCTGCGTAATCTTCAATGCAGTTTTAATTTAAGGTTCAATGAAACAGCTTTATCCTTGTTGGTACAAGGTGCTTCAGATTGTGAAATACATGTGTTATCAACAAACCAGCAGAAAAATGAGATTAATTATATTTGGACAGTTTCAATATATCTCAGACTAAATAGATTTGAAAAAAAAGCTTTAGAATGGAATTCATCAGGATTTATCACCCTATCCTAGAGCAGTTTACCCACTCTTGTAAAGTTATTGCCTCCTGATTCCAGGGGGGCAGCACAATGTGCCATTTTCCCCCTGTTTTCAATGTTAGTGGACCTGATCCATCACAATAAATTGTTCGCTTCTGAGCCCTGGCAGGCCTTAGAAAAGTAGATGCCAGTTAATCAGCAGGGAGACTGATTCTGCAGAAAGGCCTGCCTGCTGTGCAAGCAGCTAAATTATAATCCTCCAAAGTAGATCAAAAGCAGCAAGTTGATTTGAAAGAGAAGAGGTTGTGCCCTCCTTGCCCTGCTCTTCACTATACTAGTTAAGATTGCTCCAATAGCCCTTGGGCAATAGTAACTCAATTGAAGGGACCCAGGTAAGAGAGAAAGGGAGTGGTGGTTGGTAGGGTAAACAAAATAAAACCTGTGGACTGAATTTAAAAAAAAACAAGATTAGCCAATAAAACAGCTCTCCTGAACACAGAATGGCCTTTCAACCTTCCTTACAACTCTTATCTATTTTAGGTACTCATATGGTTCCCATTAATACAGTATCTCAACACTTCACAGTTTTCAAGGTAACAATCTTCACAGCATCCCTGTGAGTGAAGGAATTATTTATCTTGTATTAAAATGGGGAATGCAGGCACATGCCTAAAGTCACTCAGAGTCTGTGGTGAAGCAGGAAATTGAACCTAGATCTCCCAAGTCCCAGGCTAGCCTTGTAACCACTAGGCCATTCCGCCTCTTACTTCCTGTTTATTCTGGTAGGCCTGTGTGAAGCTATGGAGCAGAATTTCACCACTGTTCTTCTGATGAACCATGATGACATGGTGCAGTGATAAAGGCAAATCTCCTTAAAGAAGATCTGCTTTACCATTATAATTAATAATTGGCCAATGCTATTAGGTTCTACAGGGCATTAAATTACAATAAATCCATCCTTATACTGTAGCTCTCCATCAAAAAACAGAGTGCTCAAATGAAAGCCATAGTTTTTTCTATCCTACAACTAGAGTAGAGGAGCAGCAAAGCCAATTCTGATATATCTGACTTCATATAATTTCTATTTCTGTGCCATCTCCATTTGGATTGCCTTACATATACACTCTAAATAGCCTACGCATTTGAGATTAAAGAATGAATTGACCTTCGTTTTTTGGTGGGGGTTAGGCTGTATTCTCAAGTTTCAGCTCAGGAGCACTTTGTAGCACAGGAATACGAAGGAAAACAGAAACTTTCTGCTACTTCTTGGTATGAGTGTAACAATAGGGGTAGAGAAGAGGTATAGGCTACTTAGGGATATTTTATGATAGGGCCCACTTCAGTCTGAATCTGAGCTGCATGCCTATGGGGAACGGCAATTATGGCCCAAATCTTCCCTTGTTTCCTATACTCAAGTTTGTCAGATGAACAATAGACGTGCACTGGGAAATGCAGATCTTGTTGAAACAGAATAATCTCATATGAAGGCATTAAAAGTTTATGGCTTTAAAGTACTGTAAATCTCAAACTCCCAGGAGGACAAATCTTCCATAGAAGGAACTGGAGAGAATGAAATTACAGCTAAAGGCAGATTAAGTATGTGCACTGTATTCGCTACTTAGGCACGTGTGTTGAAATGCCTGAAGAACACTCTTTCAATACAATTATTAAAGCCTGACCTTTATGCAATTTTCCTGATGTTATATAACAGGCAACATACAACCCACATAGAACATACCTAAAGTATATTAAAAACAGTTTTCAGGGAAATCATGTAAATCATTGGGGTCAAAGGCATCATTCTTCTACAGGGTGCCCATGCATGTGTGCAAGCACTGTTATTGTTTAGAGATGAGCTCAAACCAAACCCCCAAAATTAAATATATTTTTCAAGGCACATTTCACAGCTGACAGTTATCTCTATAATGCACCAAATCAAAATCTGACACCCAAGCCCCATGGAAAAAGTTTAGATCTGGTTCTGAATTTCACTGTTCAGACTAACTCTCTATTACTGACTAATTTCAATTAAGTGTAAAAAAAACCACCTTTGTGCATATGCTTCAATATGCTATTTAATTAGTGTGGAATAGAGGCTTTTAAAATGTGGAGAATGCATAAATTTATGGAAATTAAGAACATACTGATGGACTTCACGGGAAAAATATATGCATATGATATCATTTGAAACACAGACATTTAATTAACTTTTGACAATGCTCATGGGATTTTTTTCCATATTGCTAGCCAAATTAATTGTGAGGTAAGATACAGGGATAATGACTGGTCTATAATGCCACTGACTATTTTTTTCAGCATTAGTTACAAGCTTTCAAAAGCACATTTCAGAAAATTATGATGACACAGTTAAAGTAGGGATTTTTTTAAAGTGTCAAACCCAAGACTCATTAATTTTGGAATGGTATTTGAATATTCAGTCCTCCTCAAAGCATTTACTTGCAGTATTCTCTGCATGTTGGAATATGGTAATAGTTTCCCCGGTGGGGGAATTTGTTTGGCCAACTAACCATGTGTTGTAAGCACATCAAAGTCTTTCAATATGTTGTGTTGATTGACAGTTAAGCAGAATAATGATGAAAATGCTGACATTATGCCAGTGCACATACATTACAGCTACCAAACAGTAAAAATATAGTTCTATATAGTTGGTGGCCTCTTATTTTAGCAATCACAGCTGTTGCATCATCATTGAAACACAAGCTTACCTATGTCTGTAACTAGGATTGAATAAATTACTACATATTTTAATAATAATAGTAACTAAAATGATGTACATATAAAATAGATGTAAAATACTTTAAAGAGGGGTTACTAAATAAATACATTTTTTCTTTCATTTAAAAGTATGCCCTCAATTTTCATTTGAGTGGGGTTACAAAAACGTAACCAATGGCAAGGTTTGGGCTAAGTCCCGGTGAAAGTCATTTTGGGTAAAAATTTCAAAAGCTCCTAAGTAACTTAAAAACAAACCCCATTGAAAGTGGGTCCTGTGCTCCTCAATCACTAAGGCAATTTTGAACATTCACCTTGATGCTTAAATATGGATTTAGGAGCCTAACTTTAGGCACACAGGACTGAAAATTTTGGCTTTGGCCCCTAATTTAGGATCTGGTGAGAGTAGATATTCTGTATCTATCACCCATTGAAGTGTATAAACTATTACCTGGTTTTGCTGGCTTTTCTTCTTTTTTGACTTCAGGTTCTGAGAAAAATATTAAGAAAAATATTTTTAGAAGTTAAAATTACAAAAACAAAAAATCATTCATTTCAATTTGTGTTCTATTCTTGTTACTCAGTTTTTATACCATCTCTCAGCTAAAAAAGTCTGTTAGAACTGACAGTCCTGCAGTACTTCGAGTAAGATGTAATACATACTCCATTGTAATAATTTTATGTACTTAACAATTGACTTATCTGAGGATATCAACAGTACTTTACAGTTATTAATTCATTAAGTCTCTCACAATTCTGGAAAATGGGTATTTATTTGTAACCATATTACAGATAGAGTAAAGTACAGAAAGATTAATTAGAACTTGCTACTGAGGGCTATAGAGTATTCAGTAAATTTCCCATATTCATTGCAAATTCTACATATATACAACTAGAACTAGGCAGGAAATGGTTTTTCTGTCCTGCAATTTTTGTTTGTTTCTTTGTTTGTTTTGCTATTATGAAAGTTTTCCACTTTTGCACTGGGATGAAATTGAAACCTGTCAACAACAAAAATCCAGGGACAGACCTTCCCATGGAATATCCACTCTCCTGGGAGAATCACACAGAGCAGAATGAGATGAGTTACCTCAGAACCTGCCTCAACTGGAGTTACCGTTGAGCCTTTGACTGCTTAAGCCTGATCAGTCGTTCCTAAACCAGACAGTGTGAGGAGTCATCAGAGACAATTACCTGCAGGTCTTGTGATAAACCCCACACCATTCTGCCAGGGGTCAGCCAATCCACAGGCAAGGTCCCACCCAGGTGATCCACAGCAGGTATCTAGGCTCCTAAGGGAAGTAGTTTCTCCACTCTACTCACAGTCACTACCTGGCTGGGAACTCTCCCCTACTGCCAATAGTTCCAACAGACTGCTCTTGCTGCTGCTCAAGCCCAAGCCTGTTTCCATGCTGACCAGCTGCTGCTCCAGCCTGCATCTGTTCCTGAGTCAGCTGGCACCTGGGATTTTGACACTTTTTGTGTATCTCAGGTCCCTCTGAACATTTGGTAGAAACTAACCCTTTCGCAGGAAAAGTTTCAGTTTCAATGAACTGGCACTTCCTGGTGAAAAACTTTTCTCAGAAAACTTCCTAATCCAAGTGCGGTCGCTGACAGGAGCAGGGAGAGCAGGGTCAAACAGGGTCTCAGTAGCAACTAGAAAGCACTGGCTTATTATTCAAACAAGGCTAGAAAGGAAGCAGGAAGTTTATATATGGTCACCAGTCAATGAGGGTCAAGATCATGTGGCCAATCAGGATACAGGGTGCAGAACCCAGGTAGCTGGCCCACCCACTGTGAATTCCTAGATAACTGCCTGAGTCAGTGTGGTGTGACGGCCTAGACTGCTTCCCAAGAATCCAATGGAGTTAGGTTCAAGACTGGGCTTTCAGACCTGCTCTCCATACAACATTTATTGAAAACAGCTGTTACACTAATAAAATAATACCAACAGGATCTTATAAGAGGGATAAGGCAAAAATGCCACGTTTATTGTAAATACAGAGAGCAGTTTGGCCTTGCATGTTTCTCACAGAGAGGGAGAGACACAGAAATGAAAAAGCAAGAGGCCTGTTCTGTTACCAATATCTTGAATTTTAAGCTGTGGGGAATTCAATCTTACCCCTTGTCTCTCTTGGCCTCGGACTTGTTATACACATACACTTTATGGTTCTAATACAGAAATTCCCTGATATGGTCCAACACAGCTATGTTTTGATCTTTCAGCATGGAAAAGCACTGATTTTTGCATTTTCTGAGTACATAAGAAAAGCCACCTATTAAATGAAATAACTCTTTTGGCATGAGTAGATTTGTAGAAAGAGAAATAATCCTGTTCCAGTAACTGGAATTTCCTTGCCAATAGTCTAGATTTCCTGGAAAATGTCCTCTTATAGAACAGACATAGAGTTACTGTGCTTTTTCTCTGACTTAGCTAGAATGACTACCTTAACATTCAGTTCATGTAACCATACGAGTTCCATCTGGTGGCTAATTTAATGCCTGTTTTTTATTTTTTATATTTAAACAAAGTAATATGCTGTGTATATTTTAAGAGAGGAATCCCAGAAAGTTTAATTTAATGTTTAAAAGAATACACATTTTCTCTTAAGAGCATGTGTAATACATGTCTCGGTAGTAGATTTAGGTATTCCACTTTGTAGCCCAGTGGGCTAGCTTGCCTTTATTATATTTGCTGCTTTGCAGTAATGTAAGGAACCTACAGGCCTGTATCCTGTAAGACATTAGCTTCAGCAAGTTAGCGTAAGGCTTGAGGCCTATGACTTTTGAACAGATAAACTTTGACAGATAAACGGCCAATGGAAACAAGTATTGGGGAGCCAAAAATAGAGTGTTTAAGGGGAAGTTCTGATGACAGGTACATGATCCAACCACAAGAATGTCATGGCAATGAGTTGATGTATATACCAGGTACATGAGCTCATGGTAACGAATCAACGTATATGATAATAAGTTGAGATCACTGAGATACTAACCTAAAGAAGAAAGACACGCCAACATTAATAAGGTGAGGAAATACAGTTAAAGAAAAGGGTCAAATCCCTTACTAAATATGCATCAAATATGGTGGCATCAGCGTATTATATTATAAAAGAGGTATCCCAGCCTAGGGGCAGTAGGAGAAGGAGATGTAGTCCTTGAGAGATGCCAGAATAATGGCCACTGGTGATGAGAACATAAGAACTTAAGAACAGCCATACTGGGTCAGACCAAAGGTCCATCTAGCCCAGTATCCTGTCTTCTGACAGTGGCCAATGCAGAGTGCCCCAGAGGGAATGAACAGAACAGGTAATCATCAAGTGATCCATCCCCCGTTGCCCATTCCCAGCTTCTGGCAAACAGAGGCTAGGGGCACCATCCCAGTTCATCCTAGCTAATAGGTATCCTCCATGAATTTATCAAGATCTTTTTTGAACCCTGTTATAGCCTTGGCCTTCACAACATCCTCTGGCAAGGAGTTCCACAGGTTGACTGTATGTTGTATGAAAAAATACTTCCTTTTGTTTGTTTTAAACCTGCTGCCTATTAATTTCATTTGGTGACCCCTAGTTCTTGTGTTATGAGAAGGAGTAAATAACACGTCCTTATTTACTTTCTCCACACCACTCATGATTTTATAGACCTCTATCATATCCCTCCTTAGTCTCCTCTTTTCCAAGCTGAAAAGTCTCTGTCTTATTAATCTTTCCTCATATGGCAGCCGTTCCATAACCCTAAACATTTTTGTTGCCCTTTTCTAAACCTTTTCCAATTCCAATATATCTTTTTTGCAATGGGGCAACCACATCTGCACGCAGTATTCAAGGTGTGGGCGTACCATGGATTTATATAGAGACAATATGATATTTTCTGTCTTATTATCTGTCCCTTTCTTGATGATTCCCAACATTCTATTCGCTTTTTTTGACTGCCAAGAGACTAAGCTAGTATGTGCATATTGAGTGGATAGTTTCAGAGAACTATCCACAGTGACTCCAAGATCTATCTCTTGAGTGGCAACAGCCTATTTAGACCCCATCATTGTATATGTATAGTTGGGATTATGTTTTCCAATGTGCATTACTTGGCATTTATCAACATTGAATTTAATCTGCCATTTTGTTGTCCAGTCACCCACTTTTGAGAGATCCTTTTGTAGCTCTTTGCAGACTGCCTGGGACTTAACTATGTAGAGCAATTTTGTATCATCTGCAAATTTTGCCACCTCACTCTTTACCTCTTTTCCAGATCATTTATGAATATATTGAATAGACTGGTCCCAGGACAGACCCCTGGGGGACACCACTATTTAACTCTCTCCATTCTGAAAACTGACCATTTATTCCTACCCTTTGTTTCCTAACTTTTAACCAGTTACCAATCCATGAGAGGACCTTCCCTCTTATCCCATGACTGCTTACTTTGCTTAAGAGCCTTTGGTGAGGGACCTTGTCAAAGGCTTTCTGAAAATCTAAGTACACTATATCCACTGGATCCCCCTTGTCCACATGTTTGTTGACCCCCTCAAAGAATTCTAGTAGATTGGTGAGACATGATTTCCCTTTACAAAAAACATGTTGACTCTTCCCCAACAAATTATGTTCATCTATGTATCTGACAATTTTGTTCTTTACTATAGTTTCAACCACTTTGCCCAGTACTGAAGTCAGGCTTACTGGCCTGTAATTGCTGGGGTCACCTGTGGAGCCTTTTTAAAAAATTGGCGTCACATTAGCTATCCTCCAGTTATTTGGTACAGAAGCTGAGGGAGAAGGTAATGGTGATGAGGAAGCATTTCAGGTTGTTCTGCAAGGGATGGTGTGGGTATATGAATGTGCAGATGTACGTTCTATAGTATCTTTATCTACTTTACTGAGTTGGGGTATTTGTGGCTGCGCTAAAATTAGGCTTGAATAAAGACTGGGAGTGGATGGGTCATTACACAAAGTAGAATTATTCCCCCTACTGTTACTCACACCTTCTTGTCAATTGTTGGAAATGGGCCATCCTCATTATCACTACAAAAGTTTTTTTTTTTCCTGCTGACAATAGCCCACCTTAACTGATTACACTAGTTATAGTTGGTATGGCAACACCCATTTTTTCATGTTCTCTCTGTGTGTATATATATATCTTCCTACTGTATTTTCCACTGCTTGCATCCGATGAAGTGGGTTTTTAGCCCACGAAAGCTTATGCTTAAATAAATTTGTTAGTCTCTAAGGTGCCACAAGTACTCCTTGTTCTTTTTGCTGATACAGACTAACACGGCTATCACTCTGAAACCTGTAAATACAGAGGAGTTCCTGTAGTGTAAGTAGTGCGACTGTGCACATCGGGGTTCCCAACTATATAATAATTTTAATAATACTGTGCCTGATCTTAGGATAAGAACCTGTCAACTCTCAAAGTGATTACTGAGGATTCTTAAGTAATCAATATATACATAATCTATAGATCGGGCTACAACTTCCTACCTATCACTTTTTT